GAGTAAGGCCAAGCTGTATATTCTCTAACCCATATTACACCCATCAATCATACATCAAAATAAAGGGAATTAAAGGTTCTTTGAACAACACCTAAGATATACAAAGTCTCTTTTAAATAATCAGTATAACTAGTGAGGAAACCCAGGGAAACTCTTTTTCTTTAAAATTTTAACCCTATGCTAAATACGAAACTGTAGAGCGCCACCTTAAAAACAAATATAAACATTTATGAAATTATTTTTCTTATTTTCATATTATTATGTATGATGTTCTGAGTAAAATGGTACATTAACAATAATTTTATTCATGAAAATAAGCTAATTATGCTTATTTTTGCTCTAGCATACATAATTTGATATGAGGCATGTTTGGGTGAGTAGTGACCTTCATTATAGGGAAATTAGAAGTCTTAGAATATAGAAATAAAGTCAACTTAAATTGAAAAATGTTGCATTAAGTAAAAGAATTCCATAGTGAAAATGTTTTATTTCATTTATTTGCAATGAAATTAAAAAATAAATGATAACAAAGTAAATTTGCTTTCGTCCATATCAAAGAATTAGTTAATATTTACCCTTTGACCTTTGACCTTTATGAACCTCACCTGTTATATCCCTTTTATAACTGTAAAATTTATTGTTGACATCTCAGGAATAAATATGGCTAGTTTCATGTTCCTGTCTATCAGCATAACACTGGTTGCTATGTAGACAAAATGCAATGCGCATTTTTAAAATAGTTCAATTTTTATCATAAGGAGGGGGGGCTCTACCGGTTTAAGACTCTGACTCTAATAAATGCTGTTCTGAGGGGGGAAATACATGACAATTATTACAAAGGACTGTTTTGATGCTTGCGACTTAAATATTTCAGTCGTACAATCAAAATTAAATCATACAATAATAATACCTTTATTCTCTTTATGGTGGCGCTCACCAGTTATTATGTACTTTTGAGAGAGTGATGTATGTAAGGTGAAGTTGTTTGCATTTTAAACATGCACAGTGCAGAGAATGTTGGCATACCTATATACTACTTTCATGTAATGTGGATGAAATTTCTTTGGATATTGTACTTTTGGAAATTTTAAATGATCTTGGGACACTGCTAACTAAAATGACTGCTCCCTTGTGCTCCAAAAATCAACCTAAATTTGTCTAAAGTACACTATTCTTGGCAGCTATTAAAATATGGAAAATGAATTTTGCCAAACTAGATAATACCAGCTTCTGAAAGTGCAATGACTGAATTACCAAATACATAAAATGTAAAAAAAGTTATCGGCTCTTTTTTTTACAATTTACCTCTGAAGTTCGAGAAGTGAAAATGAGCAAGTAGAGCTAGCACGTTTTTGAAAGATGCACATCTGGAGTAAGGCCAAGCTGTATATTCTCTAACCCATATTACACCCATCAATCATACATCAAAATAAAGGGAATTAAAGGTTCTTTGAACAACACCTAAGATATACAAAGTCTCTTTTAAATAATCAGTATAACTAGTGAGGAAACCCAGGGAAACTCTTTTTCTTTAAAATTTTAACCCTATGCTAAATACGAAACTGTAGAGCGCCACCTTAAAAAATTAATCATACTTTAACACTATTTCAAGTACAGAAATAAACATGTTTTTCATATTATGTGTGGAATAAAATCTGGTAGGAACATCATTGCTGATCATTAATCATTTAGTAATATATAATAAGGATGGTTTAAGCATTATTACCTATTCAATGTAATGAAGAGAAGTAACTTTTGCTTCTTCAACATCTTTCATTTGCATAACTTCAAATGAATTGGGCTGTTTCACTCATTTCATTTTACGGGGTAGATGATATTGGATTTTCTTTTAAACCATGATATTTTTTCCTTTTTCCTCATCATAATTTATTTATTTAACTAATAAAATTATAATTAGTTCTTTTGTCTATGCATCAGAGCAACAAAATATGTTCAAGTTATGCAGGGATCAGAATATTTTTTCAGTAAAATCTAAATCCCTTTCTGATAACTACCTGGTCAGCCCTTTACCTATGAAAATTGTTTAAATGGACTCCCCATAAAAGTGTTGAAAGGATGCTTGATATAACATTGTGTTAATTAAATATTTTATGTAATGGTGGTTGTTGACATCTGACTTCATTACTGCTTAATCAGCTCTCAGATAATCAGTAGTATAAACTGCCAAAGATACATAGTTTTCCAAAGAGTATTAAATATGACTGGTTACTATTTACACAGTAAGTCTTATTTCCTAGAATTACTGAAAATCATGTTTTTCAAAACACAACAATGTCAGGGGTTTGTTTGGGAGTCAAATACATTGATCTTGCATGGGATAATTTTTATGGAAACCCTAGTGAGAGCCCATCGGGCAAATCCCCTCGAAGTTGCATTGCAAGTATTTTCAGGGCATAATTTTAACTATTTAACTGTAGAGAAAACTCACTTTAAAAAATGCTGCAGTTGTTTCACATTCGTTTTAGGAAGAGCAATGATATACACCAGCTCCACTCCCATTGGATTCATCCCTGGCACTGATAGAAAATCTGTTTGAAACCATCCTACAACTCACTGAAATGCTAATACATTTTACAAACCATGCTCACAAGTCCAAATTTATTTGGGCAAGGTATGTGTAATGTGTGGACTTGGGGTGAGGGTGGGTGAATTAGAATGAACTGATATAAATCTTTAATAAGTTTGGCAAATTTAAGTGCTGAAAATCAATGTTTTACTATGTTTGCAAAATAGGAACATTCACCAAAAAATGGTATTATTGTGTCTCGTTTATTTTTTTTTTCTTTTCGTTTGTAGTTAATTGTATAATAATTCATATTTTTCGAATATAACCGTAATTTAGCTAGAATCACAACACATGTCCGAATCGGCCAATATTTTTATTTGTTATTCCTCTTGATTTATAGTCTCACTTCTCCAGTATTCAAGTGACTTTTAGCAGGCTATAAATTTGCAAACTGATACTTCAATGAGTATAAATGATCACAATACTTCATGCGGCAACTTTAAACAGTGCCCAGCAAGTGTAAGATAAATGTATAGGTAACAACTTAAATGTTCATACTAGATAAAACGAAAATGATAAGATAATATTTGTTTAGCCAAACGTACGCATCATTTGGGCAAGGCTATATCGGTGATATTGTTGTACAAAAAAAAAAAAAAAAAGTATCGTGGACGACATGCTCCTTTTATTAAATCAAGATTTTAAGTGATGAAATTCAACATTTATAATTAAATCTTGCAGAAAATGACGGACGTATTAAGTAAAAGAGATACTTACCTAATAAGCTATGCTGAGATTGTATCTCTAGTCGCCAGAAAAGTTAAAACCCAGCACTCTCTTATCTAGGTGGCTGAAGGAGTAGGTTGCCAGACAAACACGGAGACGTCACCATGTGTGATCATGTGAACAGTTTTGACCAATAGTAATGGCGAGGATCGTTGCATGCGTTGCCATTGTAACCCTTAGTTACGTACAAGGGAACTTACTCGAAAGTTATATCAATTCAATTTATGCATACAACAACACGCGTTTGGTCAATTCAATTCATGATAATACTACTGTAATAATAATAATAATAATAATAATAATAATAAGAAGAAGAAGAAGAAGAAGAAGAAGACAAAAATAGCAACAAAAAATATCATCATCGTAATGGCGGTGATCGTGGTGGTGGAAATGATGGCAATATCAGTGTTGCAATTCTCAAAGTGTTAATTCAGAAAAGAAAAAAAATATTTAATAAATTATCAAACAGCAAACTTGGTGAGATGTGGCGCATAATATGTTAATCTATTATATTATATTCCAGCCAAGACATCACATATGAATTCTGCTTTATGTTAGGCATGTTTCAACTTTATGTTTAAAAAAATAGCGAAAAATTACAAGAGGTTAGGCATTGAAACCCTTGACACATCAAGGACGTTTATTTGGTTGACGTATGAATTTAAAAGGATAGGGAAAAAACATGCAATATGTTAAATATACAAACTATGCAATGTAGTCATTTGTATATCATACTATTTTTAGTTTAAAGGTTTTATTGTAACCTTCAAAATCAAATTGTGCCGTAAAATTATATATAGGCCTAATATCACTTTGTAAAACTTTTAATTGACGGGCCTGGCGTCAGCGCAAGACGAACAAGGCCCCACGCTTCTCCGCAATGTTATTTTTTTTTTGCTTGAGGCCCCACGCTCGTCGCATGCTGCCTTGGGCCTCGTACATCCTAGCAGAGCCGTTTTAAAAAGTTGGGGATAGAGGGCCGAGACACAAACTCTTTCCTTAAAAGTAACCAGAATTGCGTCTCAGTCTCAGATACAGAGTATTGCATTGCATTTCCAAATGCATGTGTGTAAGTTTCTTAGATTTATTAATATAGTACTAAACTGCTAACACAAACAACAACGAAATTCCTGTTGTTTGTTCCTAACATTTTACTTCGATTGGATACACACTTTGTTAACTATTTGTTTCCCAGTTTTCGAATTTCATCATAATTTTTTGAATTTCATCATAAATGTGAGACCGTGAGTTCCTCCGTGATAATTTTCAGTGGCGTAACAACCGCTCAAAAAAATCCTAACAACCGTGTGGGGAGGGGTGGGGTGTGTGGGCTCCCAAATGGTTCTCGAGCTGGCATTCTTTAATCGAATACTAAATAGAGACATTCTCTTGACAACAAACCAACATATAAAACGCAATAAGCAAGCGTGGTTTATTTTATAGTTATCGTGCCCAAAAAGTCTTGTTGAAGTCCAAATGGGCAAATGCCATTTATACTGTATCACTGCTATTGATATCGTAATATATTTTATGGTAATGTGTATGTATATCATATGAAAATATGTGCACAAGTCTTTACTTTTATTCTTTTTTCTAGAGACAACAACGAAATTGATAAACGGGTCGAATTAGTTGCTTGGCTTTTTAGATTTCATGAGTATAAAGAGATATCCGTTATACATATATTGCTATGGTAGCCTAGTGGTTAGAGCGTCTGCCTCCGATACGGGAGGTCGTGGGTTCGAACTTCGGCCGAGTCATACCAAAGACTTTAAAAATGGTAACAGCTGCCTCGATTGGCGCTCAGCATTAAGAGGTTAGTGTCAGGATAATGTGACTGGGTGGGACATCATGCTACATGTCTGCAGGATGATGCCCCAGTGCTAGACATCACTATAAACTGTCACACTGCAGACATCGTAGCGATATGACTAAAAATTGTTCAAGCTACGTGAAAAATCTAAATCACACACACATAAACACTCACACACACACACACACACACACACACACACACACACACACACACACACACACTCACTCAACACTCCAAATTGGTAGCAAAACTACACACTTATGTATAACTCACATAAAGACAAATTGAAAACATCTAGTTTCTTGTAATTTATTCACTAGTACTATTATTATTGCAGAGTTGTTAATCACTGGAAGAAGAATGTCAACACTCCATTCTGTTGGTCCAGCAAGACACATTGTATGCGATTATTATTTTTTTTTAAACAATAAATACATATACACCAATAACAAGACATATATAATGCATGACAAAGAAGTTGTTGGGTTTTGGAGGTGGGAATGTTTGCAAGAGTTCACCCCCGATTTTTATCAAATTCAATTGATATGAAAATGACGAATGGAACACAATGTATGTACAAAGGTATATTGCCCGTAATTTTTGCCGCCGCACAAAAAAATAATAGAAATTTTGATGAATTATGTGATAATTGGTGGAGTCCCTTCTAATAGATGAAAAGGATGGACTGGTGAAATAATTTCTGTATAAATTGGATAAACTCGTCCCAATGTTATTGTTATTGTTCAATGTAAATAATATTATCCCGAATGTTCCCTAATGAATAGAAATTTGCTTCATAATATTAACTAATCAATCAAGCGATTAAGGAGTAAACATACTAAATGTTCTGTAAAAAAAAAAAAAAAAAAAAAAAAAAAAAAAAAACGGTTCCCATTCAATCAAAAAAAAAGATACAGAAAAATCTCTATTTAAGGATGAAATTTGAGACTTTAGCAAAACTCGGACCTGGCTAACATCTGCCTAAAAGCCAAATGCAATAAGAATTGGCCATGAAATTGGAGTCAATATGATGCTTCGACAGAACTATAATACCAAAGCAGGATTACTTAAAATAAAATGATTCCTTTTAACCAAGTCGAGTTATATTTATTTCAACGTTTGTTTGCTTGTTATCTTTTATTTCAGAGTTTATTTTCTTGTTATATTTTTGGGGCATTTTAAAAGAAATCGCGTTATATTTAAAACTTTGTTTTCTTTTTAGTTGGTACCTTAATACAATATGCCAATAAAGAATGTTATATATATATATATATATATATATATATATATATATATATATATATATATATATATATATATATATATATATATATATATATATATATGTGTGTGTGTGTGTGTGTGTGTGTGTGTGTGTGTGTGTTATACATGTAGTTTTAAGAGCAGCAACAAACACGTGCATAGGTAAATGGATAGTTAGAAAAAGGTTGAGAGAGAGAGAGAGAGAGAGAGAGAGAGAGAGAGAGAGAGAGAGAGAGAGAGAGAGAGAGAGAGAGAGAGAGAGATTTGCTTAATAATTATCGTATATTCGCCTTGAAACCAGCGACATATATCTAAATATTAGATAATCCTACTTTGCTTTGAGAACACTCAGTTTTGGCCATTCAGTCCTTTGCCAAGCAGTAAGAATGGATCAGTCTCCTGTAATTACCACGTAAAAGATAATAAATACCATTTACTGGTAATGTGCTACATTTTCGTAACATCGACCACTCATAGGAGTATCTTTTCTTTTCAAACAGGGGCCTCTAGTGGCCGAGTGGTCTAAAGCGCTGACCGTTACGGTTCACTGCCATCTCACCACTGTCTGCATGAGTTCTAGTTCATACTCAGCTAACGTGGGTAAGTGAGAAAGCCTGCCAGTAGCTTCTCGTGGGTCGGTGGTTCTTCCCTGGGTTTTCCAGGGTTCTTCCTCCACCATTAATACTGGCCGCCATGTATAGCCTATCTTGTGCTGAAAAACTGCGTTAAACCCGACAACAAAAAACAATATTTTCAAACACACCTTCCGGATAAATCTCACGAGTCGTGTTATTAACACATACACGCCATGAAGACGGTGATATACATCAAACATAAAAATCCAATGGTCGGCAATCTGACAAACTGCCAGACGCTAACAAAGGACCAAGAAAAGACGTCGAATCCCGAATAAGTATAAATATTACGATTAAAATGCAGCTGATCAGTTGAAATATAAAGATTTATTCCTTATTTGTCAAACACGCTTTAAATAGTAGATATTCACATTTTCACGATGAAATGCGAGACCGACTGACAGGCTATAGAACACAATTAATTTTACTATATTGTCTCTAAATTTGTTTCTCAGTACTGAACTTTCCACTGTGTGACAATCAATACAAATCATATGTTAATCTAAAATACCTTCAAAGATGACTTTACGGTGAAGTTCTTGACAAGGGTTGACCTGCATTTTTTTGAGAGGCTGAATTGTAAACAAAACACCAGGCAACGGAACACAGATTTCACTTCCGTTTCATCACTATGACCTTATTACTCAATGTGCATTGTCGCCGAAATATACACAGACAACCACACAGTAAGCTCACATTTTATAGAATAAACAATTACCTTTAAATCCTTACCAAGAATGCCAAAATCTAACTCTAGTATCACCACCAAACTCAGACAGGAAAAAGTGATCTAAAAATAGACTGGGACTACATTCGTGGGTACTGAACCGGATTTTATTAATTGTGTACTGATGCCACCTGGCATTGTCTCCAGATGGAAATGACACTTATTATTTGGTGAAATAAACTTTCGATAAAACAGCTCACACAGAGTTGGTGTTTAATTTAATGTTAAGTTATATATTTGATGCTTCCCGATAAGGTCACTAGCAGATGATATTTTGCCCATTTTACCTGGACGATGGGCAACCTGGAAGTTTTTCATATATGTGATCACCAAAAGTTTCCATTTTTAACAAAGGACACACTGAAGCAAAGTCAACTGACAAATCACAAATATAGATACTATCAGAAGGCTTGAATTGTGTTCTTTTTATGTATGTAAATTTCGTAAAAGTATCTTGAGATTCACAGACTTTATTTCAGCTTCCAAAAACCATATAAAGTCAAAGGTAAATCTGCCAGCTGACCACAAATATGGCGACTGATGACGTCATTCGAGAACTATCGAAAGGTTTTGGACTTGCCCGTGGGTTAGTGATTTACAATCATGAGCTTTCCCCCTTAGTGGGCGCTCACCAGTTATTATGTACTTTTGAGAGAGTGACGCATGTAAGGTGACATTGTTTACATTTAAAACACGCACAGATAATGTTGGCATACCTCTCTACTATTTTTTTGTAATGTGGCTGACATTTCTTGGATATTGTACTTTTGGAAATTGTAAATGATCTTAGCATACTGCTACCTAAAATGACTGCACCTTTGTGCTCCAAAAATCAGTCTGAATTTGTCTAATGTACACTATCCTTAGCAGCTAATAAAATAGGAAATATGAATTTTGCCAGACTAGACAATACCATCTTTTTGAAAGTGCAACAAATGAATTACCAAATGTATAAAATGTAAATCAAGTTATCAGCATTTTTTTCTTACAATTTACCTCTTTAGTTCAGGAAGTGAAAATGAGCAAGTGGAGTTAGCACTTTTTTGAAAGATGCACATCTGGAGTAAGGCCAAGCTATGTACTCTATAACCCATATTACACCCATCAATCATACACCAAAAACAAAAAGGGAATTAAAGTCTTTGAACAATACATTAGATATACACAAGGTCTTTCTTAAATAGCCAGTATAACTTGCAAGGAAACTCAGTGAAATTCATTTTCTTAAAACTTCTAACCCTATGCAAAAATGAAACTGCAAAGCACCACTTTAAGACAGGCCAATGAATTTGTAAATCCCTGTCTCACCTGTCTGATATTTACCTATTAGTCCAATGCAAAGCAGTTGGATATGAAATCTAGGTCAGTAGGCTGTTGATAGGTCTAGCTTGGATATATCTATGTGATACCATTTCCTGGTAATGTGCTACAAATACTTGATCCATGTTATTAAAGGATAAAATGTAGACAACAGTCACTTTCTTTAGTTTTAATATAAAAGTAACAGATATACATCCAATTATCATGTTTCATGATTGGAGCATAAACAGTACCCAGTAAATGAATTTATAAAAGAAATTTAAGATTGTCACTGAAGCATCAAAATACTGGGAAAAACATTTTTTTTGTTGCAGAAATCATCAAGATGAATTTCCTTGCCAATTTTCAATTTTGAAGCAAGATAATATGCATATAAGCACACCAAAAATTCATTTGGTCATGAATTATAAATGCAAAAATGTAACCAAAGTCAGTAAAAAATAAAATAAAGATATGAGCTTATTTTGCTGCAAGTGTGATAGAAACAGATCTATATCATCATCAAGTTAATGATTCAAGCATGAACAATGACTGTGAAATTAACATAAAACATAAAATGTAATTAGCATATATTATAAACAATAATTACTGTTTACTTAAATGAGTAGTGCCCATGAAGATACATCCTCGTTTCAGGAGAGGATTACTAATAGCATGCCTAAACCTAGTCATGATCTAAATGCAAAATTTGAGTGAAAGGAAGTAAAATTTAAATAAAATTTAAATATAGGTCACATTCACCTACTTTGGTATGGCACTAAGAGATTCATGCATTTATCCAATTAATGTATGAACAGTAAAAACATTAAAATTGAACAAAGTGGCAAGAGACAATAAAGATAAAACTATTTTTAAAGTTTTGCTTTTATATGGATTATGAAATACAATGTACTTAATTCATCATACAAGTCTATGTATGTATGTATGTATGTATGTATGTATGTATGTATGTATGTATGTATGTATGTATGTATGTATGTATGTATGTATGTATGTATGTATGT